GACTCCTGTTAAATGTTTTCTAAAGCTCATGCATTCCGGATTATAAAACCTTGGGCTATTAACTGGAGTTTTAGTTTTGCGCTACACATAATTTATAAGCCCTGTCAGTGTGATCGCCTGCGACGTCTGAATGTCTACCTTATAATGCAGTTTAGTGAGTATTCATCTCCTTGCTGTCAAATCGATGAAGCGTAATCTTCACGTGACTGGCTATTCCTGCTCATAGGTAATGGCGTGAACCGCGGCTCGAGCAACAAAACGTTTGAAATATACACGGCCGAATATTGTATCGAATGCCATCTTCAGTCCTTTCGAAATTGATTTGCGTCATGGCTGATCGATGACCGCAAATAAACCAGGAATAGCCACATTTCTTTCCCCACCTTTGTCAGTATTCCCTCCGTGGTTTCTTTAATTCTTGACTTTTCTTCTCCAAAAAATGTACTCTACCTCATTTGACGTATAGCTTCCAGTTTTCTTTCCATTTTTGCGTTAGGTAGAACAACGGCGTTGGAAGGTCGACGTAAATTCTTACCAGCTTGCAAATCTGTCGCTTGCCAACGTTAAACTTCCAACTGGTGAGCTGCGTCGAAAATCCGAAGATGATGAAAGGGCTATGCGGTCTTTCATGCGCGTGAGTCTTCGGTATTTATTTTTTCGGTTCATTTAACTTAATCGCCAGGTCATGTACACCCTGTTGTCGCGACCGAGAGCGGCCGGCCCGGAACCGAGAGCTTCCAGCCATTACGGGCCTTATGAGACTTTCTGTCTGCATCGCGTAACGCAAAGTGTCCTCAGTTGCTGCTACAACAATTGTGGATGCTTGTGGTGGTCGGAGAAGACTTTATCGAAGAGAAGAATGTAAATGTAGAGTAGCTTGCGCAACCGGCCTCTTTGGAGCTCCTAGGCAGTATTGGTAAATTGGCCTGATCCTGTTGCTCATGGTCCCGCCCAGCGTTTGCAGTCGTAGTCAGATAACCTTGTCTCTGTTGTGTGAGACCTTACTTAAGTGTTCGTTAAGTTTTTTCGGATATTTACTTCCCATAGCCAGCCGATTCCTGCATCGTCGTGAACTACCTATCTATACTATCTTATGTAACTATTTTAATGTCAAGACGATGTCTGATTGTATATAATCGCCTTAGTCCGATATCAGAACGCACTGGGTGGTTGTCGATGTATATTGGCCAGACTGACTGATATGAAACAAACTTTGATTCCTTTTTTTCAAATGCTTATATTCGAAAGAAACTATCTCCATGTCATCAAGGCCGCACTTCAGTTTTACTTTTACCGGCTTTTAAAAGAGTATAGGTTATACTTGCCTGAGGAATTTTGAGGGATATCATTCAGGTAGACAGTAAATAATCACGCCTTATTTGTTATGTCGATCTTCACTCGACAGCATCGAGGCGATCAGGCCAATGTTAGAGAGTTAATCAGCTGCCCATAAGTGCGA